AAAAGAAAATCAAAACATTTGGATTGCTTGAGCCAGGAGTTTGAGGTTGCTGTGAGCTAGGCTGATGCCACGGCACTCACTCCAGCCTGGGCAACAAAGCAAGACTCTGTCTCTAAAAAATATAAAAAAAAAAAAAATTAAAAAAAAAAAAAGATTCTGCTGAAGCTGATTTGTCTGTTTTAGGGACACTAGAATTAATGGAGGAAATGAAGTCACTCTACTTATCTAACACTGTCATTTGCAGTGTGACATTCAGGCTGTTGATTGTACAACTTCAGCAAGAATCCATCCCAGGCCGGGCGCTGTGGCTCACGCCTGTAATCCTAGCACTCTGGGAGGCCAAGGCAGGAGGATTGCTTGAGTCTAGGAGTTTGAGGTTGCTGTGAACTAGGCTGACGCCAGGGCACTCACTCTACCCAGGGCAACAAAGCGAGACTCTGTCTCAAAAAAAAAAAAAGAAGAAGAAGAAGAAGAAGAAGAAGATGGTATTATTTTATTTTATTACCCACCTCCCTCCACAGGCACAGTATCTAGGACCTTGTACCATTGTGTGCTCAATAAATTTTTTTCATTGGATTGATGGGTGAATGGATGAATAACTGAATCTATCTATTACTGTAACAAAGATGTCCCTAAGTAAAGAAACCATGAGGAGTTTCCCCTTATTACTCACTGAAGAGAATTGAGTAGAACTCCTTGTTCTTGATGTTGATTTTCAGGGACCAGTACATTTCTATCTTTACCCAGGCTCTGTGTGCTGCTTGTGCCTTTTTCTTAGTTGTAAAAAGAAAAAAAAATGTGTAAAAAGTATCAATTTCCTCTTTTCATCAGCAATGCAGAAGGAATAATCTGTCTATCCCACCAGCTCCTTTTCTTAAATTGTAATGTCATTTAAGCTAATGCTTCTCAGTTTTTACTTTCGCTTTCCTAATAGTATATTTGAAATGCATTAAAGCAGTGGTACATTTTCAGTTTTAAAATTTAAAAAATTCGGTCAGGC